GGGGGGGGGGGGGGGGGGGGGGACGGAGAAAAGAGTACTGGTAAAGGGGACGCCAAGGCGGGTGTCAATTTCGCCAATGGGCAGGAGGCAGAGGGAAAGCAGGGCAAGGGAAGGGGAGGGAAGGAAAAAGGGTGGGGGTGGAGGAAAGACTGGTGGCAAAGGGGATGCCACGGCGGGTGTCAATTCCGCGAACGGGGAGGAGGCGGAGGGAAAGCAGAGCAACGGGTTTGACGGCAGCACCGCCCCCAAGGTGGGCAAGGATAGGAATGGAGACAAGGCGTTACAGAAGCCGCGACGGAGGGCACAGAAATGTCGAAGAAAGCGCGGCTTCAAGAAGAGAAGGCAAGACAGTCGCAGGTTTCATGCGGATTCTTTGATGAGCCATGATTTATCATGTCAAACAGACGTGGCGCAGGCGGTATGTGGACAGCTCGAGTCGCTACAGCCTTGTCGCGTTTCGCCACCAGCACTTGTCCACAGAACCTACATCCGTTGCTATTTAGTGTACCTTACGCGTTTCCGCATGCGTTCGTGCAGGAGTGCCTGGACATCGTACTCGGCACTCGCCTTCACAATGGTCGCTGGAATGTGAAGCAACCAGGGTACGGAATTGTGATGAAGGTTAACATGGGTGTAGACCAAAAAGAAGTTGGGTCATACGACGTGCTAATGGACCACGCCGAGAGCATCGTTACGATGGTGGCGCGGTACGTGGAGGTAGACGTCAAGTATGCCCGAACGCATGTTGCACCAGGGAAAGGATCCCCTGCAGGAGAGAGGGGGAGATCCAACAATGAATTGGTCTCACCTGAGAACATTTCGAAGGAGGAGGAAAATATCCAGATTCCCGCGGCAACAAACAATGGCGGTACGTGTGCAGGAGAGGGTGTCGACATGGGTGGCCTTCAGGATGGTGGAGATAGGAGCAGAAACAATGGACATGACGACAAGCTATGCGGGACAAGCGGGATGGTATCCGTGAAGAAAGAAGGGGGTCAGAGTCGCAAAAACGGAGATAACGGCCAAAAGAAGGGAAAGAGTGATGATGACGAAAGCGACAGCAGTACAGATGTGGAGATGGGATCGGACAAGAAGGGTAGGCAGCGTTCCAAAGCCGTAGGCAGAGGACGATAAGGAAACGGGTGATGATGAAGAAAGCGACAGCAGTACAGATGTGGAGATGGGATCGGACAAGAAGGGTAGGCAGCGTTCCAAAGCCGTAGGCAGAGGACGATAAGGAAACGGGTGATGATGAAGAAAGCGACAGCAGTACAGATGTGGAGATGGGATCGGACAAGAAGGGTAGGCAGCGTTCCAAAGCCGTAGGCAGAGGACGATAAGGAAACGGGTGATGATGAAGAAAGCGACAGCAGTACAGACGCGGAGATTCAATCGGATATTAAGTGTAGGCAAGGTTCTAAAGCCTGAGGCGGAGGACGATCCAGGGGGAAGAGAGATCATGAGGGAAGCGACGGCGGTTCAGATGGGGGCAATGACCCGGGGAGCGAGTACAGCGAAGGAAGCGGGGATGGTTCGGGCAGTGACAACAGTGACGCTTCGCGGGAGAGGAGAGAAAGGCGGCAAAAATAACGGAAGCGCAACAGACGGCGAAGAAAGGTAGGCGGGAAGAAGGGCTGGGGTGGACGGCCTGTGTTGGAATGAAGGAGTCGTTGGAGCAATTGTCACCATCGACAGTCCGTTTCCCCCCATGTCTTTGTCGCCGCGGTTTAGGACGCTAGGAAGGGAAACGGCGCGAATCGAGTGGGCCGGGGGGAAGCGGGAGGAATTGCCGAAGTGGGACGTTCCTTTGATGTGCTCGGTTCTCCTCAAGCGACGTGGGATGCTGTGTTCGACACACTACCCGAAGACCTCGGGGCTGAGGGGCACCAAACTTTCCGTGTTAACCGAAAAAAAAGGTGAGAGCTCTGTGCACCCTTGTGCATTGGTATTTCTGCTCTCCCTTCGTGCCTGCCTTAGATGTATCCGCACGATGACCTCGCACCGGCCCGTATTCAATTGAGTGCGCTCGTGTCGTTTGTCTCTTGATGCAGACGGCCGACAAATCGCGACACAATCTCTGTGAAGTTATTTGTGCGCATTCGGAACGAGTACGCAAGAAAGATCCAACAAGGCCAACCCTAGGAAGAGAACGTCGCAGAAGGTGAGCTGTGTTGAACAATCATAATGGCAGCCTGACCTCCAGTTGCTCGACATGCTCGACGTATAACTTGGTGATCGCGCACTTGGTGCGAAGTACTGGTATCGCATCGTGTTCTGGGTTGCACATTTGCCTTGGGGTTGATGACCCTTTCACTCTTTACCTCCCGCGACCTCCGCTTTTTACTCTGGCATGAAATAGGTGGAGTGCCCTTTCAAGATCACCATCACTTGGCCTCTGCGGGGGAGTTACCCATCCATATCCTCTGTGAGTTCGGGCCTCCTTTCTATGTACGGCATTTTGACCAACATCCACGCACATAGTCCCCATCTACCCGTGTTGCTGTTTTGAACTACTCGACAGGATGAACATGCAGTCTACATGCTTGGGACATCTGATCGCACTGATTGTGACATGCTTAAGACATCTGAGAGTACTGAGTCTGGAACTGAGCTGCTCCGTTCTTTCGTCGAACCCTCCAGTCTCGCTGCCAACACAACCACGACCCACGGGGAGCTGCGTCCAGTGCATCCAAGCACATCCTGTCGCCAAACACTGTCGACGAGAGGATTGACGATATCCGGACATGGACTGTGGGGGGCGTATCCGCACAGTAAATTATCAGATGCTGGAACTAGACCAGGACGGTCTCCTCTTGTGCAGAAAGGGAAGACGAAAAGTGGGTGGCTACAGTTGGGAGTCCAACGACGTTTAGTATAGATGTGAATTCCCAGGAAATACCAGTGAAATAGTGGAGTTGTTGCATTCTCGGCGTTTTTCATTATATAACACCGTTGCCTACTGAGGCAGACAAGTCTTCTTGCAGTGCTTCCCCGTCATTGTGTTAAGTGGCGGGAAGAATTTACCCTCTTGTTCCCTTGCATTTCTTTTCGTAACGCCGTTTTCGTACAAAGGTGTACAACGAAATGCAGGAGGTAAACGACGCTTTGAACGCGAAACCCGAGGACGCAGCTGACTTCCTCGCGACTCTGAAAAGCGAACCTGGCATGTACTGCGATCACACGCTGGATGCCCAGGGACGATTGGTGGATGTGTTTTGGTCTACCGTCCAACAGCAAGAACAGATTGCAAGATTTGGGGGCTGCATACAGCTCGATACAACGGTGTTCACGAACAGGTGCACACAATACCTTCGACAGGTTNCGGTGTTCACGACAGGTGCACACAATATCTTCGACAGGATACAAGTCTCCACAGCACATGTGAGACCGCTCGTTACGCTACGCTGCTCATGGTTGGCGTTTAAAACCCCCTCTCGTCGTTTGTGGTCGCGAGATTTGGTGCTGCTAGAAAGAGTATCAATGCGTCATGTAACTCGGGCTGACTGTGTGTCTGTAGATACGGGTGCCCTCTTCTGTTCGTCTTGGGCGTCGACGACGAGAATCGCAGCTGCATTTTGGGGCAGGGCCTGCTGCGGTCTGAGTGTACGGAGACGTTCGAATGAATCCTGAACAGATATGAGGCCGCTGCCGGTGGGCGGAAGCCGAAGGTGACCCTGTCACGATGTACACAATACTCATTCATGGCGTAGAACGAGGTCAGGATGATGTACAGTATGAAGTCGCTTCGACAAAGGAACAAAAAGACGTCCACATTTGTTGAGGCATGTACTGCAGACGCAGAAGAGCTTGTCTAGTGGCTATCGACATAACCGCCCCGTCCATGGCCTATCCGATCCGGTGACAACGTACGTCTACCCTTTGCCACAGGTGATCTTGACCGACGCTGATCTTGCAATGACGGCTGCAATAGCCTTTTGCTGGCCAGGGACGATGCATTTGCACTGCTTGTGGCACGTCTTCAAGAACGTCCTCAAGAACTGCTCGTCATCATTTGCATACAATGACGACAAGACCGACATGATGCAATGCTTCAGGAACGAAGCTTATGCAGCTACCCCGGAGGTACGATGGCATTCACTCGTACGTTGCCGCCACACGACGGCCCCGAGAGAATTGATTGGTCTACCCCACCCGTTCGCCCGCCACAACGAGCGGTGAACATAACCTTTGACGTGTCTTGTTTTACCATTGTCTTCAGTGGCAGGTGTTTGGGACCCAAGTGGCCCGGTTGGAGCAACTTGTGGCCGNTTTGCTGGCCAGGGACGATGCATTTGCACTGCTTGTGGCACGTCTTCAAGAACGTCCTCAAGAACTGCTCGTCATCATTTGCATACAATGACGACAAGACCGACATGATGCAATGCTTCAGGAACGAAGCTTATGCAGCTACCCCGGAGGTACGATGGCATTCACTCGTACGTTGCCGCCACACGACGGCCCCGAGAGAATTGATTGGTCTACCCCACCCGTTCGCCCGCCACAACGAGCGGTGAACATAACCTTTGACGTGTCTTGTTTTACCATTGTCTTCAGTGGCAGGTGTTTGGGACCCAAGTGGCCCGGTTGGAGCAACTTGTGGCCGGCAAGAAGTGCGAAGGATACATAGCGGACTTGATCAAGTGAGTAACTTCCCTCCGTACAATTCGAGGAAGCGCCGAAATGAGGTCATGATGCCTTGGCTTGAGCCATGAATGCCACGTTTTCACGCTCGATACTCACTATTTCACTCTGGTACCGTCGTGAACCGTCGTAGGAACAAGACCAAGTGGGCGTTCTGCTGCCGACCCACTGTCCTCACGCTAGGCATGGTTGCTACTCAGCGCACCGAAGGTTTGTTCGGGGTGGCAAAAAGCTCGGGCGTCGAGAAGAAGCTTTCTTTGTGCGCTCTTTGGGATCGCCTGCAACGTCTCAGCAAGATGATTGCCATAGAGACTGCGAGGTGAGTTTGTCTGTTGTTTTCGTCACCCATGGCAGCAGGTGGTATCCGCGTGCTTCGATTTATGGGATAATCCGATGTGTCCTACGACGCGCGCATTTGTCTCTACCAGCAGCTACAGACACTGGTGGCGGATCGACATTGTCCATGGATTTCTCCCTCCGCTACACATTATGTAACACTGCTTTTCATGCCATGCATGCAGGTTAGCGACACCCCCCCTTGGCGCTGGCGTGGCCTTCGGGGATATCCACGTGGAGAATTTCTTCAGACCCGTGAAGCAGGAGCTCCTAGCCTGTGGTGCTAGCCAGTACTGCCAGCAAGTGAGTCGTGTTTCGGTATATGGATCGTTGCCGCTGTTGAATTCGTGCGATGGTGTGTCNCCGCTGTTGAATTCGTGCAATGGTGTGTCCGTGATTTACCAAGCTGACACTATCCAGTCGAACTGAAACCCCATCGAACACATCTTCGCACTGTCGAACCTCATTCCGTCACAGGAGGTCAGAGCGCAGGTAGACGAAGCGCAGTCGTATGACGCCGAGTTGGTGAGTTCAGGTCGTGTGGAGGAGAACGGGGACCCGCTGCCTTTCCACGAGAACGATCTCGCCAAGATTCGCTCATTGCGCCTCAAGCTCAACGTTCTTCAGGTCGCACCACCTGATACCGATCTCGAGGGAGACCAGTTAGCCGGCGAAGCTGCGGTGGACAACACTATGTGGGCGCGTACGTCGCTGTCAGCCTTCTTGGATTTGATCGAGGATATACCTATCGAACTGGTCGTGGCCGTTCGATACAAGTGGACGGCGAACAGACCCAGCCACCTCGTGGTGTTCGGACCTCACAACTTCCACTTATGTTCCTGTTTACAGCTATTGCGGCGCAGACTGCCTTGTAGGCACTACTTTGCGGTGCTTGTCAACCTCATCGGGAGAACTGGCGAAAGTGACGAGATGGCCTTCACCCATACCTTTAACGGCGCATGTGTCCATAACCGTTGGCGTCGAAGAGAAGATGGCAACGATTCGTCGTGGACCATCTCATCGGTGCTGTCGTCGTCAGGCCACTGCGTAGGGTGGGACGGCCATGACGAAGGCAGAGACGAGAACTACTGGGGACCGACATGCGATGAAGTGGTGGATGGCATACATCCTACTGAACCGGGGCGGGCCGCGCAGGATAGAAGCGACAAGCGTCGAGTCTACGCACACCTGATAGTGAAGAGCAAGGAGCTTGTAGGAGATATAGTGAGGTCCGTGCCCCTGCATCAAGCGCTGTCCGTCCAGGACAAGGTTGGGGAGTATCTCCGGTATCTTCTCAACTCGTCCGCGGGAGGCACAGTCGTCCAAAATCCTGGAGAGGCGCCCAAGAAGGGGAGGCCGAAAAAGGACGGTCGAAGGCAGCCTCTTCAGCATCGATCGGGGGCCAAAGAGGAACCCGGAAACCCGGAGGGGCAGCAAGGAAAGTCCCGTCAGACCAAGAGGATAAGGGATTTCAACAACGGGNACAAGCGTCGAGTCTACGCACACCTGATAGTGAAGAGCAAGGAGCTTGTAGGAGATATAGTGAGGTCCGTGCCCCTGCATCAAGCGCTGTCCGTCCAGGACAAGGTTGGGGAGTATCTCCGGTATCTTCTCAACTCGTCCGCGGGAGGCACAGTCGTCCAAAATCCTGGAGAGGCGCCCAAGAAGGGGAGGCCGAAAAAGGACGGTCGAAGGCAGCCTCTTCAGCATCGATCGGGGGCCAAAGAGGAACCCGGAAACCCGGAGGGGCAGCAAGGAAAGTCCCGTCAGACCAAGAGGATAAGGGATTTCAACAACGGGCGCCGGTCGACGAAGAGGAGAAAACACGCGGAGGAGAACGACAGTGGAATTTGTTCCACACGATTTCCACTGTATTCCCCGTGTGTCCTGTTCAGAGAGTTGGGGGGCATATTCGAATGTCCGTGTTCCAGGGGGTAACGAAATCGGCGTAACGAACGAGGATTCATGGAATCGTCTTATGTATAGTCTACGAGACACAAAAAAATCGGGGACAGCAGGGGGAGCCATGCCTTGGCTGCGGCTGCCTACAATCCGTGAACTGTATGTCGACACTTGTTTCGTGTGGCGAGACACAACCGAACGCTCATGACCGCAACTGGAAGTTCCAACGGGTTTAACCTGTGGGCGACGACCTTCCTGTTGTGCTCGGTCTACTTCTCATCGCTTCTTGCAGCGCGGTGCCGATGGACGTATTTACGTTCTTGATGCAGTACTATACAAAGTGGCTCCAGTACACTGAGAATATATCACGTCGTCACACATACTCTAAAACAGAGCGCCAACTATTTTCCAATGCAAATGACATGGTGCATGCACGGAACTGCAACAATTACGGAATGTATGCACATATATTACCTCAGGTTGGTTCATACAACAGCAGTGAATATTCTACTAACTGTACATGACAAGTCAGGAAGGCAAGATTTCCCTGTGCCGAGGGATTTGTTGACTTGTTCACCCCGCGTCTGCTGCTGTTGCAGTGTGTGTGCTGTGTACTGTGTACTGCTGTGTGGTGTGTGGTGTACGCTGTGAGTGCATTAACAGCACGCTCTAACCCTTGTGCTTCGATTAGAGTCTTGTGCGGCGAGATACTGCTGGTGAAGTGTTTGGCCTTATCCACCCCACGGTGGGGCATGGACTTTGCGTGGTGTAATACAGTCGCACATGTCTTGTGCCAATTGGAGTCTTGTCGGGCTACATACGGCAGTGGGGAAGTCTGCCTGCAAGAGGATAGAATACAGTGTTCGCTACCCACTTCGGGTGTTTCGCGTCATGATGCGGCGGGATTTCTTGACCTGTTCGCCGCCCCAGGTGCTGCCCGCTGCTGTGCGCTGTGCGTGCATCGACCAGACACTCCTACAAGTAGTTGTGTGTCGATTGGAGCCTTGTGGAGGGAGATCCAGCTGGTGGGGTCAATAACGTTATCGACCCCACCAGTGGGGTACATAGCGGCGGAATGTTCCCCACCGACTGTGGCACCACGAAACTGTGCCGTTTCGGCCTCACGATGGATCCAATGATAGCCCTGCAACGCAGCAGCATACCCGTTGAAGTCCTGCGCCTATTGGAGTCTTGTACAGCGAGATACAGCTGGTGGGGTGTTTAAGGCTTAACCACCCCACCGGTGGGGTGGTTAAGAAATTACCCCACCGGTGGGGTGATTATATGCGGTTTTTTAACTGACGTATCTCTACGCACCATTCGCGGGGACCCCTGATTATATTTTTGAATTTTTTAGCTTTCCGTTAGATCCCGTTTGAGCACTTCGGCGTGTGTGATATAAGCTTTTAGCGGGATTTGTGTTCTGATGTGGAGCACTGCAAACCAATCACAAGTGTGGTTCTACTAGCAAGGGTGGTTCTGCTAGTACTTCGGGTCCAAATGATGTTTGGTCAATACTGTCAATGCTCGTGGTGTGGTCACGGGTCTGTGATGCGCACAAGAGGTACAGTCGAATGTGGCTCTTTTTGTCAGCCTGAAGGTGAACTCCTGATCAGCAAAAACACCTACTGTAACTCGACCGCTTATCAATCCAATCTCACGAGGCTTTCCAACGCTATGCTAAGGCGTCACACTCAACACAACGCTATGGGGACGGCACTCACGCTCACCTAAACCCTAGTCGGAGCTATGCCAAGCGGCTTCTGATCAAAGGGGGTGGCTGTGGGAGAACTGAAAGCCAGAATAATCCAAATATTTTGGGAACTCCGGGGAAACGGGGATAACTTCAACCATACGGTGACAATCTGCGGAGCTTCCTACAACATTGACCCACCCTTGCTTTTTCGCGGAACCATTACCCTAAAATATTTCGTGGAAAAGCAAATAACAAAAAAAAAAACGTAGGAAGCTCTGAGAAATAATGATACTCCCCGCCCTCCATTTACCATTGCTAAATACTTAAACAAAGAACCACTCCATATTCATGATTGCTCCTCCTACACGGGTTACGGCCTTTTCTCGGGGTTTCTTGCCACGACATGCATCTGATTGCGGGATATTCTCCTCCATACTGAACTCCTAGTGGGAACTTTGCTGAAATGGGGTGAAAGGCTTCAATTCTTGGCCCATCCGACCCACCCATATCACGATATTCTTCGTGCGGTTCCAGACTAATTGGGCTGGAACCAACTCTTCTTCCCCGTGAACGTACTTTCAAATTCCCTACTTGCTGAACCATTCTGCCCCAGATGATCCCCAACACCGCCTCAACCAAGCAGGATTCTAAACACTGTAATGCCACCGACAGCCCCATAGAAAACCAGAGTTTTACCCCTGGCCCATAGGCCCTGCCGAGGACACCCAACGTTGCCCAACCCTGGGACGCCACCTACAGCCCTATAGAAAACCAGAGTTTTACCCCTGGCCCATTGGCCCTGCCGATGACACCCAACGTTGTTCTTCCTCCTACCGAATTGACCGGTATCACCCTGTCTCGATAAAGACCATCACATGTCCTGTCGCTTTCGGCTATTCCTATTGGTTAACTTGAAATGTCGTATTCGGCTAAGATTTGAAGAGCACACCAGGATTGCTATCATCTGCAGATAGCTTATAGCTGGGGGATGACATGATTCTGTAATCACCGACCCACCCAACTCTGCTCCACGCCAAAATAAAATAATGTCGTCATATCCGATGCTATGCCCTACCCAAATTCTTGACGAAACGAAACATAACACATACCAGGTACACACAAGAAGGAGGCTTCTAGGCATGTCCAATACCATGCCCTACCCTCCTGCCTAACGAAACGAAAAATAAAACATACACACAAGAATGAGGTTCTAGGCATATCCGATACCCTGCCCTACCCAATTGTTTGGCAAAGATAAATATGAAAAACACAAATACAAGGAGGCTCCCAGGCATATCCGATACCCCGCCCTACCTAATTGCTTGGCGAAACATACAAGTAGATAACCACAGAAACAAAGAAGGGTCATAGCCAACTCCCTTCACTATGAGTGCCTACATCACACAACTTGCATCACCGACACTACCGATACCTCGATACAGCCATATCAGCGGACACCTAAACACCACGCTGGCCCCAGAGGTAGTGGCGATCCCAAAGAGATCCCAGTCCGGAAGAATAGATGGTCGATGGTGCCAGGGAAGGCCGACGTGCCGACGTGCCAGGGATCCTTCCCGAGCTTGCAGACGAAGAGGGGAGGTCGATCGACACATGATTCTGAGTCGAGTCCTGCACCCTTGCTGGAGAAACTCCCTCCAGTGGAACACCAGAACTAAGACGGGAGGTCAACACCGTGGGAGGGTGTTTCGCGACCTCGATCCCACCCGGGGAAGCACCACATCGATTAAAAACAAAGACTAAGACGGGAGATCAACACCGTGTGAGGGTGTGTTGCGACCTCGATCCCGCCCGGGGAAGCACAACACAGACAGAACACAGGAACAAAGACGGGAGATCAACGGCACGTGATGGTGTGCCAAGACCTCGATCCCGCCCGGGGAAGCACAACACAAATGAAGATGAGGAGCACACACACTCTGACTTCCTCTTGTCATCTCCCGTTCTCTTCCTTCTTTTCCTTCTCTCTTCCTGCTTTTTATCTTCGTTCTTTTTCTTTCCTGTTCTCTTCTTTTCTTTTCCCTTCTTTCCCTTCACATCCTTCTTCTTTTCCTTTTTTTCCTCCCGCCCCTTCGCAATCTAGACTTCAGTGGGTTGGCGCTGTTGGCAAAGCGCTGTAAAACACGCCACCCCAAATATAGCCC